ATCCAGTAATTCCACTACTATAATATAGCCAAAAGAAAGGAAACCAATACATTGAAAAGACATCTGCACTCCTATGTTTACTGCAGCACTACTTAAAATAGCTAAAATACAGAATCAATCTAAGCACCATCGATGGACAAAAGGATAAAGAAAATGTTGTATGTATACACCAAGGAGTATTATTCAGCCATAAAAAAGAAACACTGCATGTTCTCACTCATACATGGAAACTAAGAGTGAATCTCCTGAAGATAGTGAATACATTAGTGGTTACAGAGGCCAGGAGAGGTAAGCAGGAGAGAGAGATGAAGAGAAGCTAATGAACGGTGTGTTAGTCAATTCTCATGCTGCTAACATAGACATACCTGAGACTATGTAATTTACAAAGGAAAGAGGTTTAATTGACTCACAGTTCAGCATGGCTGAGGAGGCTGCAGGAAACTTACAATCATGGTGGAAGTGGAAGCAAATAATCCTTCGTCACATGGTGGCAGGACGGAGAAGAGCTGAGTAAAAGAGGTAAAAGATCCTTATAAAACCATCAGATCTCATGAGAACTCACTATCATGAGAACAGCATGAGAGTAACTGTCCCCATAATTTAATTACCTTCTACTGGGTCCCTTCCACAACCCATGGGGGTTGTGGGAATTATAATTCAAGATGAGATTTGGGTGGTGGGCACAGCCAAACCATATTATTCTGCCCCGACCCTCCTAAATCTCATGATCTCACATTTGAAAACACAGTCATGCCATACCAACAGTCCCTGAAGTCTTAATTCATTCCAGCATTAACTCAAAATTCTAAGTCCAAAGTCTCATCTGAGACAAGACAAGTCCCTTCCACCGATGAGCCTGCAAAATCAAAAGCAAGTTAGTTACTTCCTAGATATAATGGGGAATAGGCATTGGGTAAATACACTCATTCCAAATAGGAGAAGCTGGCCAAAGAAAGGGGCTAGAGGCCCCATGGAAGTCTGAAATCCACCAGGGCAGTCATTAAACCTTAAAGTTCCAAAGTGATCTCCTTTGAGATCTCTTTTGAGATCAAAATTGTCTCACATCCAGTTCATACCGATGCAAGAGGTGGGCTCGCACAGACTGGGCAGCTCTGTCCCTGGCTTTGCAGAGTATAGCCCCTCTCCTGGCTGCCTTCATGACTAGCATTGATTGTCTGCAGCTTTTCCAGGTGTACTGTTGGTGGAGATACCATTCTGGGGTCTGAAGGATGGTGGCTCTCCTTCTCACAGCTCCACCAGGCAGTGCTCCAGTGAAGACTTTGCGTGGGGAGTCCAACCCCATATTTACCTTCCACATTACCCTAGCAGAGGCTCTCCATGAGGGCTCCACCCCTATGCAAACTGCTGCCTAGATATCCAGGTGTTTCCATACATCCTCTGAAATCTATGCAGAAGTTCTCAAACCTCAATTCTTGACTTCTGTACACCTGCAGGCCCAACACCATGTGCAAGCTACCAAAGCTAGGGGCTTGCACCTCTGAAGCAAAGGCCTGAGATATACATTGGGCCCCTTTAGCCATGGCTGGAGATGAAGCAATTGGGCTGCAGGGTACCATGTCCTGAGGCTACATTGAGCAGGGGGAACCTGGGCCCCAGCCCAAGGAACCATTTTTCCCTCCTAGGCCTCCAGGCCTGTGATGGGAAGGGCTGCCATGAGGGTCTGTGACATGCCCTGAAAACATTTTCCCCATTGTCTTGGTGATTAAAATTTGGCTTCTCATAACTTATGCAAATTTCTACAGCCAGCTTGAATTTCTCCTCAGAAAATGGGTTTTTCTTTTGTATTGCATCCTCAGGCTACAAATTTTCCAAATGTTAATGCTGTTTCTCTTTTAAATATAAGTTCCAGTTCCAAACCATATCTTTGTGGCTACATAAAAATGAATGCTTTTAACAGGAACCAAATCACTTCTTGAACACTTGGTTGCTTAGAAATTTCTTCTGCCAGGTACCCTAAATCACCTCTCTCAAGTTCAAAGTTCCACAGATCTCTAGAGTGGAGCAAAATACTGCCAGTTTCTTTGCATAGTGAGAGTGACGTTTACTCCAGTTCACAGCAAATTTCTAATCTCCATCTGAGACCAACTCAGCCTGGACTTCATTGTCCATATCACTATCAGCATTTTGGTCAAAGCCATTTAACAAGTCTCTAGGTAGTTCCAAACTTTTCACATCTTCTTGCTTTCTGAGCCCTCCAAGTCTCTAGAAAGTTCCAACCTTTCCCATATTTTTCTGTCTTCTTCTGAGCCCTCCAAACTATTTCAACCTTTACCTGTTACCCAGTTCCAAAGTTGCTTCCACATTTTTTGGTATCTTTACAGGAACACCACACTACCTGGTACCAATTTACTGTATTAGTCCATTCTCATGCTGGTACTAAAGACATATCCAAGACTGGGTAATTTACAAAGGAAAGAGGTTGAATTCACTCATAGTTCAGCATGGCTGAAGAGGCCTCGGGAAACTTACAATCACGGCAGAAGGGGAAGCAAACACGTCCTTCTGCACATGGCAGCAGGTAAGAGGTGTCGAGCAAAAGGGGGAAAGGCCCCTTATAAAGCCATCAGATCTCATGAGAACTTACTATCACAAAAACAGCATGAGGGTATCTGCCTCCCTGATTCAACTACTTCCCACTGGTTCCCTCCCACAACACGTGAGAATTATGGAAACTACTTTCAGGGTGACATTTTGGTGGGGACACAGCCAAACCATATCAAGGGTACAAATACACAATTTGATAGAATAAATGAGATATAGTGTTTGATAAATCAGTAGGGTGACTATAGTTTATAATAATGTATTGCATGACTTCTTGTCTTCTAGCTATTTGTCATCTAAAACTAATTGTAAACCATAGAATGGTTTCAGCATAAAGAAAAGACAAATATTTAAGGTGACATATATCTCAAGTATACTTCTTTGATTACCTTAAATTATATGAATGTATTAAATTGTTATATGTACCCAAAACTATATATATCTATTCAGTTAAGAAAAGCAAAAGGACAAAAAAAAAGATATATCATGCAGTCACTAATCAAAAGGACCCTGAAATGGATATATCAATATTATTCAAAGTAGGCTTCTGAGCAAAGAAAATTACCATAAGAAGAAGAAACTTACATAATAATATAAGGGGCGTCTCATCAAGAAAATATAATAATTCTGAAGGTATATGCATCTAACAGTGTTTGCAAATACAGGAAGCCAAAAATAATAGAACTGAGGAAAAACAGAAAAATTCACAATATAGTTGGAGACTTAAACACTCCTCCCTCAATAATAAAAAGAAGACAAAAAATAGCAAGGATAGAGAAGTGAACATCACTATCAACCAACTGAAATACTGCAGAGCCTCACATCCCCAAACAGCACAATATACATTCTTTTAAACTGCAGATGGAACATTAGCCACCATAGACCATATTCTGAGTCACAAAACTTAAATTTATAAGAATTGAAAGCATGCAAAGTATGATCTGACAATAATAAAATCAACATAGAGAAATGCTAGGTTCTGAGGATGTGAAAAGATACAATCTATATTCCCAAGCAACATGGGGTCTAACTGGAGACACATTTAATCATTAAGTTTTGTACTATGTGCCATATGCTGTACACAAAATACAACACAACATGGAAAGTTCTCTGATACAACAAATAAATTTCTCTGATTGCATTGGGAGTGTCCAGGTTGGTTTCACAGAAGAAGTGACATCTAATCTAGACGTTCAGGAAAAGAAATGATACTTTTATGTAAAATGAGACACCTATGGAATTGTGGAGATGTTTTGATTTTTAAGTTAGAATTACATATAAACACAGAAAACACACAGTAATTTCAAACATAGACTAACTTCCAAATCTATTCAAAGGTAGTTGGCATAAAAGAGAAGAATAACTGAAAACAAGAGATGACTTTAAAAGTCCTGGTAAATGTTTTGGCAAAAAAGCAGCTTGGAAGGCAGGCCTCCTAGTGAGGAGAAGAAAGAACAATTTTATTCATTCAGTATCAAAATCATAAATTGTGGATTCAGGAAAAAGAAAAAGAAATACAAGTAATAATAAAGGTAGCTACAGACATCTCATTATTTTGCATTTAGACATATATCATAATTGCAGTTTACCTAAGTGAGGTGACATAAACTGCTTAAATTTATTACTAAAATCAAGCATACAATAAAATTATCTCTAATAATATGCTTAATGGTTATTCTGCTTCATGATAACTAGCCAGAAATATTAGCCATGTGTATGGAGATTTATAACCTTTTTTTTACCAAATAAAAGTATTTCTAAATCCACTTAATAAAAGGAAAGGGGAGAGTCGAAGAGCAGAAAGCTTATTTATATCCCTCCTAAAAATTCCATTATCAATTCAAAGCAGGTCTTTCAATTCTTTATCAGTAAATGTCCATAGATCTGGACCTCTAGGATTATCATCACCATTACCACCAACTGTTACTATTAGCAGTTACAATCTAACGTACACTCTATTAGTCTGTGTGATGCTTAATACTGAGTGTCAACTTGATGGGCTTGAAGGATGCCAAGTATTAATCCTGGTGTGTCTGTGAGAGTACTACCAAAGGAGATTAACATTTGAGTCAGTGGACTGGAAAAGGCAGATCCACCCTTAATCTGGGTGGACACCAACTAATCAGCTACCAGCTCAGCCAGGATATAAAGCAGGCAGAAAAACATGAAAAGGCCTCAGCCTACATCTTTCTCCCATGCTGGATGCTTTCTTCCCTTGGATGTCGAACTCTAAGTTCTTCAGCTTTGGGACTCAGACTGGCTTCCTTGCTCCTTAGCTTGCAGACAGACTATTGTGGGACCTTGTGATTGGGTGAGTTAACACTATTTGATAAACTCCCCTTTATATATGTATACACACCCTGTTAGTTCCGTCCCTCTAGAGAAACCCAATACAGTCTGCTTGGGTTGACATAACAAAATACCAAAGACTGGGCAGCTTAAATGACAGGATTTATTTTGTCACTGTTCTGCAGGCTGGAAATCTGAGGTCAAGGTACCAGAGTTGCTTTCTGGTGAGGCCTCCCTTCCTGGCTTACAGATGGCTGCCTTCTTGCTGTGCCCTCACAGTCTTTCCTCTGTGCTCACATGTATGTAGAGGAAGGAAGAGAGCAAGAAACAGAGAGAGAGAGAGAGTAAATCTTGATATTTCCTCCTTTTATAAGGAAAGCAGTCATATTCGATTAGGCTCCATCCTTATAACCTCAATCAATCTTACTACCTCCTTAAAGGCTCTGCCTCCAAATATAGCCAAACTGGGGGTTAAGGCTTCAACATATGAACTGGATAGGGGAGCACAAATTCAGTCCATCATAAACACCTATCACATATCAGATATTATGCCAACTTTAGTATCTAAATGTACTCCCACATCAACCTTACTAGATATAACTAATCTACCTTGATAAGAAGTAAAGTCATACAAAGAATTTAAATAACTAGTCACATGAAAAGTAAAATAGAGAAAATATTGTAAAATATGTTTCAACTTCCAGTAAAAACTTGGTGGCAACTAAGTAATGAAATATTCCACTTCTCTAGAAAGCCATAAGGAAATAAGGATAATTAGAAAAAAAATGCACATTTAATGGTCAACAAAGGCAGAAGTCCAAGCTAGAAATTTTGTGTGAATGCTGTCCAAAGCAAAATTGTTAGCAACATCTTGCAGAAAACCGAAATGAGATGAGATAAAACTCAAAGGGAAGGAGGGGACAAAGGGAGAACAGTGTAACAACTATCAGCACATAAACATACCCACAAGAAGACCACGCTCTGAATGGGAACTGCTATAAGTGAGGCTGGGGAGCACACTAGGAGGCAGAGAAAGAGAGCTCAGAAGATACTCAGGGAAAGAAGATAATAACATCATTTTAAAAATCTTCTGTATGTAAGGGAGATTCTCCAGAAGGCAGGATCTGTTTCCTGGTGACATAGGTAGACTAGAACCCAAAGAAGTTTAGGTATGGCAGTAGAACCTCTTCTGAACCAGGATAGATTCAAAAAGTAGAAGAGAAAGTGAAATAACACCTTAGCTCTGTCACTGTAACAGAGGTGACAGCCTTTGAGTTACAGAGGTGCCAGGTTATCCTGGTCTTTCCCCTTTCCCTAACATGAGATTGTTGTAAAGAGCTGGTTCATAAAAATAAAATTAAATCAAGTACGAGAAACGAAAAGAATAGCCACTGCATCCATGTAACAATTTTGTGTTTTAGAAATGGAAAGAATTTATCAGGGGAAAGCAAATCAAACCATAATAAAACAACACTTCACTATAGTTAGAATGCTTATTGTCAAAAAGACAAAAATAAAAATAAAACAAGTGCTGGGGAGGAATAGAAAAGAAGGAACACTATACACCACTGATGAGATTATAATTTAGTACAGCTGCTATGATAAACACTATGGAGTCTCCTCCAAAAATTAAAAACAGAACTCCCATATAATCCAGCGAACCCACTTGTTGGTATATATCTAAAGGCAATGAAATCAGCATATTGAAGAGATACCCACACTCTCCCATTTATTGCAGCACTATCTATAATGACCGAGATCTGTAATCAACCCAAGTGTCCAGCAACACATGAATGAATAAGGAAAATGTGGCATATAAACAGAATGGAATAATATTCAGCCATAATAAAGAATGAAATCCTGTAATTTGTGACAATACAGATGGACCTGGAGGACTTTATGTTAAGAAAAATAAGACACAGAAAGATAAGTGCCACATGCTCTTACCCATATGCTCAACTAAGTAAAAATATTAGTTGATATCATGGAAGCAGAGAGTACAATGTTCACCAGAAACTGGAGAAGGGAAGGGAAGGGGGAGGAGGGGAAGAGAATGCTCAATGGGTACGAAGTTACAATTAGATAAGAGAACTAAATCTTGGTTCTCTTATGTTCTACCTCATGTTCTCATTCATAAGTGGGGGTGAACGATGAGAACTCATAGACACAGGGAGGAAAACAACACACACCTGGGCCTGTCAAGGAGGGCAGGGGTTGGGCGGGATAGGGAGAACAGCAGGATAAACAGCTAATGCATGCTGGGCTTAATACCTAGGTGATGGGTTGACAGGTACAGCAAACCACCATGGTAGACATTTACCTATGTAACAAGCCTACATGTTCTGCACATAGTAACCTGGAACTTAAAAATAAAAATAGAAATAAAAATAAAAAATTTTGGTGTTCTATTGCACAGTAGGGTAATGATGGTAACAGTAAGGTATTGTATATTACAAAGTAGCTAGAAGAGAGGCTTTTGAATGGTCTTACCACAAAGAAATGATAAATGCATGAGGCAATGGATACACAAAATACCCTGATTCAATCATTATACAATATATATGTATTAAAACATAAAATTATACTCATAAATATATATAACTAAATGTCAATGAATAAATATTGGAAAAGAAAAAAAATAGTTTTATTTTAAAACTCACCAATGTTGTTACTGATCATATGAAAATTGTAAACAACTAGGCTTTGGACAAATATTGGAAAAAGAAAACCACAAAGCAGAAATACAAAAACTCAGAGAAGAGATGGCCAGAAAACAGTGGCTTGTAAGAAGTGTTGATGAATTGAGAACTTGAAAAACTCAAGGACTGAAAATAGAAAAAAGTAAAAAAAAAAAAAAAAAAAAAAAAAAAAAAAAAAAAAAAAAAAAAAAAAAAAAAACAAAACCATAATTTCAGAAATCAAGACTAAATTTGATGAAAAATAAATATGAAAAAGCCTTTGATAAAATTCAAACTCATTCCCAATAAAAAACTTAAGACAATAAGAAGTTATAAATACTTAGTAATACATATATGTGTTTGTGTATATCCATAAGTACATATGTATATATATTATTGTGTATATATAGTTTATACTTTATGTGTATATATATGTATATATATATACACATGTATATACATAAAACTAATCATCAACACATAAACATAAGCATACCCAGTAGAGGACCACAATAAGAATCTATGAATACTTAGTTTTTAAATATATATGTGCACAGACATATATATATATATATATATATATATATAACATAAAACTTATCAGCATATAACATTGTGATATATATAGATAGAAAGATACAGATATAGATATATATCACCATCCTAAAGCAGCATTGGACCTAACGAGGAAACACCACAGAAACTCCAATTAAGTTCAGAAGTAAGGCGTGGATGCCCATTATCTCTTCTACTTAGCATAATACTAGGCACATAAGTCACTGCACTTAGAAAAGATAAAATAGAGTCATAAAAATTACAGAAGAAATAAAACCACTTTTACGTGCAGATAATATGGTGGTATACTTGGGAAATCCTACAAACTTAATAGAATTCATTAAAGTAGTAGGTTATGAAATTAACACTCAAATATCAGTCAAATTAGTATGCATAAATTGTATCCATTGGAAGATAAAAATAAAAATAAAATTACATTTAAAGTAACAACAGAAAATATAAAACACTTAGAATAAACTTGAAATGTTCAAAGCTATATAAAGGAAAGTATAAAACACTAAATAAAAACACATATGTAGTCTTAACTTATGGAAAGACATGTTAACAAATGGAAAGACATGTTTTATTCTTGGTTAGAACTTATCAATATCATCAAGATTTCATTTCTTGCTAACTTAATTTGTCATGTATTTATTTTCATATAAATGAATTAATGTATAATTTTTAAATAAAGTATTCAATTCCAATAAAAATACCAACAATCCTTTTTATAGAACTGGGTCTGACTACAGCTCAGGAGGAAAAAGAAGAATGGATAATGTGAAAATATGGATCAATATCCTAATTCTGGGAACATACTGGAATCAGCTAGCAACCTCATATCAGTTTGGTTCCACCAGTTGCTCAGTTCATGGGAAGCTTTCTTATTTAGTTTACCTAGGATAATTTTACTTATTTTGCTTTATTGTTGTGAAATATATTGCTGTTGTACTCTTTTGTGTAGGAATGCAGGATAAGCTCACTGAATGTTTTCTTAAGCTAAACACCTTTTGTCAGAACTCAGAGTTACAAATGGCCTCACCATACTGATGCTTTCTGACTGAGCTCCTCTCTGCCCTGAATACAAAAGACCCTAATAGTTAGGCAGGAATATCATCATGCCTATTCAGCACGAAGAAGTTACAGAAAGTGGATCTTCATCCTTCTGCAACATTTAGGGTTAAAGATTCTCCTATAAAAGAAAAGGGGGATATGTCAGAGGCATTTGAACCAGTGCAACTCTATCTTGAATAGGGGCTGAGTAAAATAAGACAGATCTACTGGGCTGCATTTCCAGATAGTTATGCATTCTAAGTCACAGAATGAGACAGGAGGTTAGCACAAGATATAGATCACAAATACCTTGCTGATAAAACAAGTTGCAGAAAAGAAATCAGCCAAAACCCACCAAAACCAAGATGTTGACAAGAGTGACCTGTGGTCACCCTCACTGCTCATTATTCACTAATTACAGTGCATTGGCCTGTTAAAAGCCCCTCCCACCAGTGACAAGACAGTTTATAGATTCCATGGCAACAACTGGAAGTTACCCTATATTACCTAAAAAGGCAGGAACCCTCAGCTCCAGGAATTGCACACCCCTTTTTGAGAAAACTCATGAATAATCCACCCCTTGTTTAGCATATAATCAAGAAATAACTATAAAAAGAGGCAACTAGCAGTGGGCTGAGATTGCACCATTGCACTCCAGTCTAGGTGACAGAGTGAGACTCAGTCTGAAAAAAAAATAAAAAAAATCAGACCCTTGGGGGTGCTCTGCTTATGGAGTAGCCATTCTTTTATTCCTTTACTTCCTCAATAAACTTGCTTCACCTTAAATAGATAGATAGATAGATAGATAGATAGATAGATAGATAGATAGATAGGTAGACAGATAGATAGATGATAAACAGCTGGTATTTATGACTCCTGTTTCAAAAGATTTGATTGCAGACTGTAGCCAGGGAATTATCTTTTAGTTCTTGACCTTCATACTCCTGCTCAACATTATGATACCTTTCCTCTTAATTGCACAAAATGTATCATTCACATTA